CGCCACATACCCAGGAGCATATGCACCCTCTGTGGCGGCCACCATTGCTCCATGGGCACAGTGCTTCGGGCTGCTAGCATCTGTCTCCAGTGTCACACAATTAGACATAGCTCCTGCACTGCTGGTGTCCCAGGGTCCTGCCGTGAGAAAAGCCCTTAGTGTTTATAGGAATGGGGATAGAAACTTGGAGAATCGGAGTTTGCTCCCAGCGGGGTTGTCGAGAACATCTAGAAGAGCCAGTAAATAGCTGGCAGGTGCCCTCCAGACCCATCCCGAGTTAAAGATCCTGTCAGATGTGGCAGCTGTGCCGTGGACACATGCTGTAGCTGTTGTAGACTTGACCCCAGGGCATGCTGCTTTAAAACCTTCGAGCAGAATGGAGTTACTGCCCCCGTTCATTTGTCATGCTGAGATCCAAAACTGAGTGAAATCCTCTTCAGTCTTAAGTCTGGCCAGAAATTCATCGTGATTCTAGGCTCTTTCAACACTGGTTATTCATCTAAACAGTGTGCAGGTGAAGTAGCTGTGCAGTCTGGAGGCATCCTATTGTGTGTGGCTCTGAGCCAAACCATCTTAGGACCTGGGTCACAGGCCTTGGCTAAAGTACATTGGGTTAATCTTGCAGATGGCTTCGAGCAGTGGTTCCCAACCAGGATGATTTTTACCTCCCAAGGAACATTGGCAATGACAGCAGATATTTTTGGCTCTTACAATGGGAGGTGGGGTAGGGATGAGAGTCTCCTACTGGCATCCTGTGGCACAGGACAATCCCCCACGACAGAAAGATCTGGCCCAAAACGTCGGTAGTGCCAAGATGGAGAAACCCTGGCTCAGAGTATGACACAGGGGCCTACTTTTATGATCCTTGTTCATTAGTTTGCTGAATGACTCCATGAGCTTATTAGCCTGATATTTCTCAGTGATATTTAATTTACTCAGAGGAAGGACTTTGAGTAATTAGGAAGAAGTGGAATATCCTTGATCTTTTCTGACTTCCTAGTTCCCCATAAGAACCAAAGAGATTCACCAAGGCCAAACCCATTCCTGTATTCTAAGTCCCACAAACCTCAACTGCTTATGGCTTTGACATTGGTATATGCACAGCCAGAAGCAACGTTAGCAAATATGAAAAACCTGGCTATGTGTCTCTATTTGCAAAATAAATTTTTAACATTTATGAGAAATGCTCATAAGAGTTGGAGACAAAAAGAATTAATTCATACCTAAATTGCTTAACATTGGGTGTCTTTTGTTTGAGGGTTTTCTATATGTTTTTTGCCAAGCAAAAAGCATTTGGCTACCATGGATGTCTTTAGTCTCAAAATCGAAGACCTGAACTATAAGCTCCTGCTTCCTCCTCAGCAACTTCGGACAAGCAGAAGAGGCCTCGTGTCGGCCTCCCGGGGAAGGGGGTTTCCGGATCAGGACGAGACTTTGTGGATCCCGTAGCGAAGTCCTCTACACTTGAGCTTCTCTTCCCTAGTAGCATCTTGTGAGAGTCAGAATTTCTGGGTTCCACATCTCACTGTGTTATTGATTTAATCGCTATAAAAATAACTGATCCCTCTGGTGCTTAGTTTTCACAAAAATAAGATGAAAATCCCAAATATTATATTACGTCTTCAGATTAGGTGAAAGTATTTTAAGTTTTTAGGGACCTAGAAAACAAGTTAGTGGTAGTTATTTGGATTGGTGATGACTAATTATTATAATTTTTGCAGATGGAATTGGCTGCTCTAGAAAAAGTCAAATCTGCTTGGATTAAAAATCAAGATGACAGCTTGACTGAAACAGACACTCTGGTATGTATGGTTCAGTCTCCTGTTTCAGCCGTTTAAAATAGCTTCTGTACCTTTAGAAATAAAGGCAAAAAGACCCTCAGGACCACCCTGGAAATTTTGCGTAAATTTGTAGACTTATGAAGGTCCTGTGTTCTCTTTCTCTTGAAATCCTTACCTATGGAATGTAACCTACTCTGAAGACCAGGTTATTCCCCAGATTAGCAAGCCAGAAATGTCCCCATTCTGCCCTTTGGTTAGAACCGATTAAATGCTAATTTGGGTAATTTCTCATTATCTGTCACCCTCATTTACTTCTGAGAGATGACGACCCTTATCTCCCCATGTTGCTCTTACCGTGGCCAGTCAGCCACAGCAGTAAATGTCTGAGGGATTACTGGGCAACTCCTTCCTGTCAGATGCTGGAGCGGCCCAGGAGTGCGGGCCAAACCCTGGTCACGTGGAACGGACTGGCTGGGGCGCCAGTTTAATTACAGTGAATTCCACACACATACACTGGGCAGCTAGCTGTGTGTGCCAAGCGCTGAAGATGCACACGTGAGAGCGCGAGATCTCTGCCACCCAGGTGCCGCCCTCCAGGGGAAAGCCAACCTGCGGATGCCCCGTCTAGAGGCCCAGGGAGGGACAGAGCGATCTGACAGCAGGGACATCTGAGCTGGGCCCCGTGGGATATGTCGAAGTTCACCCAGTGAGACTGGAGGCTGGACACAGTGGATGGGCACAGAGAACCTAACCGAATGCCATCTGGGGGTGTGCTGTGCGTCAGCCTCACAGTGAGACCTGGTGGCTGAGAGCGGTCCAAGAAAGAATTACTTTAGGTGTATGTTTTGTATCATAAATAACGCTGCATTAAAGGTCTGGCGTATGACGAAACATTAGGCTTGATTCGAGATTAGTTTAAAACTTAACACGGCTTGCACTTGGTGGATCACCAGTGGTACGAATAACCCAGCTACGAATAACCCATCTTCCTTCCACTCTTGACCCACTTCGGTCCATACTGCACAGTGGCCGTTTCAAAATGAAGTTCAGTCATGTTACTTCCTGATCAACGCTCTCTCCTTCCCACCTAGACAAGCCAGATCATCAGGTCTGTGTGTTGACAGAGTTCGTAAATGCAGAGAACAGACCGAACAGCGAGAGACAGTGAGGACAGTGGGTGCACTCAGTTAAAATGACTGTCCTCGCCTGAGACAGGAGCTCCAGGGAGAGCACATGGCTGACTCTCCTCGCTGGGGGCGGCAGTGAGTGAGCAGTAACCACACTGCTTCCTTCCTTCCGTGGCAGGAGATCACCGACCAGGACATGTTTGGAGATGGCAGCACAAGTCTGGTTGTGCCAGAGAAAGTCAAAACTCCCATGAAGTCTAGCAAAACGGATCTCCAAGGCTCTGCCTCGCCCAGGTACTCCGGACGGGGAGAAGCTCCGAAAACAGGGCCGGGGGCTGGAGTGAAGGGAGCCAAGTAGATGGCACAAGGCTGCGACCACACCTAGCAGAGGCTCGTGGCGGGGGAGAGTGGGCCGGCGGGGCTTGGGGTCCGAGGGGCTGTCTCACCACCCCCTTCGCACACATCCGCAGCAAGATGGATGGGGCGCACACCCCCCGGCAGAAGCGGAGCACGCCCCTGAAGGAGCGGCAGCTCTCCAAGCCCCTGAGCGAGAGGACCAACAGCTCGGACAGCGAGCGCTCGCCCGACCTGGGCCACAGCGCGCAGGTACCTCAGCAGCCCTGGGCCTTGGCTTCCGGGTCGTCAGCTTCCTCGGGCAGTCAGGTGGGAGGGAAGGAGGGCTACTTGGAAATGCTCTAAATCAAAGTCTTGAAAGCAGACCTCGGTGGCGAAGTCTAGCGCACTCGTTATTTACCACTGGTGTGGTCTTGGCTGTGGGCTGATTTGTGGGGAGCCGGAGAGGGAGTGAGGAATGCCAGCATTGTCCCAGCCTGCCATCAACCCCAGGTGGCAATTCCACGCCTTCTGGTTTGTTCTGCTTCTTCTGCCTCCATCAGACATTAGTGTGGGGATTGTGCAGTGACTGGTTCTGGGGGACAGCAGCCATCAGAGTCTCACTGAATGTCACTGGCCTGCACTCTGACACCTGTCGTACTGCTGTGGGCCGGCTATTCTCATTTCAAGCTGGCATGACAGCAGCAGTAAAATATCTGATTGAAAGACCTCAGTGTCCTAGAGAGAGGCACAGAGGAAACTGGACCTTGGGGACGAGTTTTCGTTTTGAAGGCCAGTGGTACCAGGGGTTAGGGGAGGGACGTTCTCTGAACTGACACCTCACGCAGCTACTGTTCTTCTAGAGTTAACAGCAAGCCTGTTCATTTACCTGATAAATATCATCAGGAGGAAAGTTTGTGTCAGTGTGGCTTCCTGAGTTTGACTCTATTACCTAGCTGAAAATGAACCAGAGACCAGAATAGCCCAGAGCCTGGGGCGAGGCATTGTCCTTCTTGTTAATCACCGTTCCTGGAACACCTCCTTCCCTGTACAGCAGGCCCCCACGCCGCGCTCCCTGCCATCTCGTTAGTTCTCTCCCCGTTGCCCTCATTTTCGCTCCCGCGAGCACCTGCTCACCGTTCTCTCCTTCCTCCTCTCCCGGTCCTTCCATGCTGCCTCTCCCGCTGTGCCCTGCCTCGTACCCTTCATGAGATGCTTACTGCGTCTCTAGCTTTGCCCGCCCTCCCCTTCAGGACGACTGCTGTGGCTTTGTTCTCAGCGGATGTGTGCATTCTCCAAGGACTCTGCTTTCTCTTTGTCCTCCTCTCCAGTTCGGCCTGCCAGTGGGATGCTGGGTCTCCGCCCCAGATTCCTCATAGCTCTCCACATACCGCTGCTCCAGGAATTCTCTACTCACCAGTCCACCCGGCCCCACCCTCCAGCTTCCCGGGGACTGCCTAACAGACCCTTTGTCCCTGCAGATTCCGAGAAAGGTGGTATATGACCAACTGAATCAGATCCTGGTCTCAGACGCAGCCCTCCCAGAAAACGTCATTCTTGTGAACACCACTGATTGGCAGGGCCAGGTAGACATTGAAGACGGCGGGCGAGGGAGGAGAGGTTCTGGAGAGCAAGAGACCCCCGGGGTGGGTGATCCGAGAGGCAGGGCGTGGAGAAATAGGAAAATGATCCCCCGACCTCAGGCCCCTCCTATCCTGAATTAAGCCCGTACCTGTGGGCTCTAGTCCCAGATCTGTCATTTTCCAGCCTGTGTGACCTTAAGTCACTACCTTTCTGAATCTCAGTTTCCTCATCGGTAGAAAAGCAACAGTTTACCTGTCCTACCTCCTTTCCAGGGTAGTTTTGTGCGTCGGGCAGATTCACAGAAGGAAGGCACCTTGAGAAGCACAAAGGGCTGGAAAATCCAGTGCTTGCCCATAGTTTCCACATAGATGGTTCAGAAGGGACAGAGCAACGCCCTGCCTGCCGCCACTCACCGCTGTCTGCCCAGTTAGATCCTGGTGCCAGAGTCTCTCTTCCCCAGTGTGGGCTACAGCGGCAACGTGAGAACCTAAAGGTTCCTCAGCTTCCCACATTTCCTGGTTAACACGCTCCACAGGGTCCAGCCAGTAACCTGGCCTTTGCTCAGCTGTGGCCTGAAGGATAGGATGGGGCCCTGCAGCTTGAGCTGAGCCCTGCCTGCCCCCTTGGCATCTTTGAGGGACCAGAGCCCTTGCCATGTGCCCTCACCCGTGTCCCTGCCCCTTTCTTCACCGCTTCCAGTATGTGGCGGAGCTGCTCCAAGACCAGCGGAAGCCTGTCGTGTGCACCTGCTCCACCGTGGAGGTCCAGGCCGTGCTGTCCGCCCTGCTCACCCGTATCCAGCGCTAGTAAGAGCTCGGCTTCTCTCTTCCCTTTGGGATTCCTCTGACCTCATCCTCCCACCTTGACTTCCAAGCGGTGACAGGACTTCCTGGCCTCATCAGACCAAGGGTTCGCAGTCGGTGCACGGTCACGCTGTGGCAGGCCGTGGTACTCGGGTATCCCTGCTGGCCCCAGAGGGTCAGGGCTTAGAAAATGGCAACTTCCTTCCCTCCCTGGCTCCCCGCCTGGACTCTGCCACACCGTCACTTCCTCACCTTCTTAAACCTGTGATGAAGAAAGCTGGGAAGAGAGAACCCAGGGTGTGACAAAGTCTTTTCACTACTATCCCTCTTAGCCTTACTTGTCCCCCTTAGCCTTGGCCAGTTCCCTCTTCTGGACAGTGACCTGCCCCATCTGGTCCCGTATTTCTCTCCAGATTGCAGAAGCGCTGTGCATTATTGTCTCTCTCTGTTATTTGATTAGTTTGTTTTTCCCCTGTGGGTTGTTGAGATCAAGACTGAGCTTGGGGCCTTCCTCCGAGCAGGCTGCTGGCGAACCTCCTGAAAGTGGTTGTGACTGTCCCTTTGCTCCCCAGCTGCAACTGCAACTCTTCCATGCCAAGGCCAGTGAAGGTGGCAGCATTGGGCGGCCAGACATACCTGAGCTCTATCCTCCGGTTCTTCGTCAAGTCGCTGGCCAGCAAAACCTCCGACTGGCTTGGCTATATGCGCTTCCTCATCATCCCCCTAGGTAAAGATGTGCAGATCCCACCGCTGACGCAGGGTGGCGGGGTTAGGTCGTCGGACTGCGCAGTCGGGGAGACCAAAGGCCCGGCCGTCAGTCCGTCCCTTAAGCAGTTTGCCTTCTCTGGTTTCCCCCTACCAGGTTCTCACCCTGTGGCCAAATATTTGGGCTCCGTCGACAGTAGATACAGCAGCACCTTCCTTGATTCTGGCTGGAGAGACCTGTTCAGCCGCTCGGAGCCCCCAGTGTCAGGTAATGAGCCCTGGGAAGGGACCGGGACAGAGTGCCGCCTGGTTCGTGGAGAGCCAGTCCTGGCTGAAGGAGGCGGCAGGGGGAGCATGCTGCTCTTCCGCCCTGTGCCGCTAGCTCCCCCACTCACTTCGTGTGTTCATTTCATCGGTGTTTGTTAAGAGGAGGCCGTTAAGTTCAGCCTTCCCATGCTGGATGCTTTCAGTCTCTGCTGTGTGCTCTGCTCCTGTACATCTGGAAATGAGAAGGGCCACGAGGGGGCGCTGCAGAGGACATACCTAATTCAGATCAAATATAAGAAGCAGGCAGTCGTTCCTAAGTAATCTGTTGATAAACGAACCACACTACCCTGGCCATGTCTTCTGAAATGCAGAGGAAAGTGGCAGGCTTTGGAGCAAGCTTGAGCTCTGCAGGGCTGAGAGGCAGTGGGTACTTCCTCAGACCTTGAAGGAAGAGATGGGCACAGATTGGTGGAGTAGACGGGTTCCTCTAGGTTCTGAGGTTGGTGTCAGCAAAAGTTGTGGATAGCCTGGGAAAGAGCGGGGCCGGGAGGTGCTGCCAGCAGAGGTGGAAGGGGGTGAACAACGCTTTGGCTTGTGATGCGGTGGATTCAGAACCAGCCAATCTTTAGAACCCTTTCTCTGCCTCCACTTGTAGGTCTTCCCGCGGGTCTCTAAGCAGGTTATCAGGTTTGCCTGCTGGAATCAATCGGCAGTTATCTCGTTTTTCTGCAGAGCAACTGGACGTGGTGGGTCGGGTGATGCAGTATGTCAATGGGGCGGGCGTGACACACCAGCTTCCTGTGGCCGAAGCCATGCTGACCTGCAGGCATAAGTTGTAAGTCTGACTTTGAGAGATGGCATAAAACTAGGTGGGGTGGGGCTAGGTCAGACTTGAGTGTTTTTTGCTTTTTCACGTTGTCCTTCCTCCCCATTTCCCTGCGTAGAGACCTAGGAGAATGTGAGAGACAGGGAGACAGTGCTTCTCCTGCCTCCCATCCAGGCCCACCCCGTCGCCCGGGGCCTCAGTACAGAGATGCCCATCCCAGGGCCTGAAGTGCAGACTTGGGAGCAGGGGGCGTAGTGTGCAGAATCGGGTCTTTTGCTTGATTTTGTGGCTCTTCATGTCACCCTGAAATGTGACATGATGAAGTGACGTGATGAAGTGTCATTTAGTACCCAGACTCCCTTAAAGCCACAGTAAAATATGAAAAACGTATGTCCCCAGCTCTCTGCACTGTCTCGCCCACTGTAAAACTTTCCTATCTCCCAACAGCCCTGATGAAGATTCGTATCAGAAGTTCATTCCCTTCATTGGCGTGAGTACTGACCCCCTCTCCTCTGTGCCCCACCCATCCTGTCCTCCCACACACACGCGTGAAAGACTCATCTAGACAGCGGTTCTCATCCGGAGGCGATTCTCCCCCAGGGGACATCTGGCACTGTTTGGAGTGGGGGTGCTTCTGGCATCTAGTGGGTAGAGACCAGAAATGCTGCTAAACATCCTGCTGTGCACAGGACGGCCCGCACCACAGAGAAGGATTTGGCCCCAAATGTCAGCAGCGCCGAGGCGATGAAACGGTGGGCTGGGACACGTACTGGGCTGCTCCTTTTAGTGTCCTCCTTTGCCGAATTATGGCTCCTTCCCAGATCATCACTGGTATCTCACCTGAGCCTGGTGCCTTGGCCTAGGGAGTCAGGTCCAGAGCATGGCTTCTGCAGGCTCCAGGAAAAAAGAAAGCTGCCCAGAAATAATGTCTGGTGATATTCTGGAGAGAAGTATCTGTTTCCATCTTTAGGGTCAGACCAGTGAGAATAAAGGTCTGTTTTTTTCCTCTTCTATTTAGACAAAGGACAGTCACTATACTAGTAGTAAAACGAAGGGGACACCTCGTGGATATCTTTGGTGTTTGGTAGTACTGGCCTTAATTTCTTTTGGTGGTAGCTGGGCCACAAGACAGAGACTGACCAAGAGAGGAAGCCCCAAGGGGACCGGGCAGACACCCTGCTGGGTCCAGATCACACCGTGGAAACGTGGCCAAAACTCAGATTCCCATGTGTGAGATGATCAAATTTTCTTTCCAAATCAGCTTGTGTCTTTTCCTGTAATCTCGAGGATCCCTCCTAGCTTCTGGGGGGAAAGGCATGTGCAGGTGAGGAGCCCAGCTTCCACTGGTCCTGTGTTCTGCTTGTCCCAGGTTCTGGATATCTTGAGTGATCTTGGGAGATGCCTGAGCCTGGGGAAATTCTCTTCCCCCTTCTCATACATGCTTTGCAGAGCCTGCCATCTTGGCTAGTCCAGTTAGACCCCATTAGCCACTGGGACTAACATCTTCATGGAGCCGTGGATCATTGCCCACTCTGGCCTCACAGCCAAGAGAGAGAAAAAAAAAAAATTTTAAGGAACAAAGGAGCCGGCAGCTTCATGGAACGCCAGGGAGCAGGGGGCATATCCAGGAAGCTCAGCGTCAGTGTGTTGCTTCCCGGAATCTAAACTAAGGATGCCTAGAAAGTTTGGGACAAATTTCAGGGAATAGCAGTCTGTACTCTGAGCAGCCAGCCGTAAAGGGACTATCTGCGCATGATCCCCACTTCACACCAGTACCCAGGGTCCACCTTCCGTGACCCCCCCAGCTCTGCTGAGCCTCTGCCAAGTGCTAGGCCGTGGGCCTGCCAGTTCACAGGACTTCACTCGTCACTTCAAGCCACAGCTGTGACTTTCAAGTAGTTTGTCTCTAGCTGTGCCCTTTGCTGGCCAGTCGAGGGCGCCCTCTATCCTTCCCAGAATTCTCTGAGACATTTAAAGTTCCTCTGGGAGCTGGAATCCACGCCACTTCCTTCGAGGGGATATACCTGGGTCCCTGCCTCACTGGTGTTCCTCCAGCTGTGTGTCCCCTTGGCATAGAGCTCCTCCCTGCCACACCCACCTCCCTCGCTTTCTCGCAGTGGCTCTTCGTCTTTCTCTCTGACGTGAGAAGATGGCCTCCTGCCGTATGATCTTAGAAGAAAGGAGATCAGGATATGGAAGTTCCCGCCTTTGAGGTGGCCTTGCCCTTATCCCGAGGGAAGAGCCACAGGGTCTGCTGTGCCCTCACCTCCTTTTTTGGAACTGGGTTTTTTTCCATCTGTCAAAGATCTGGGCTGATCTGGATTCACAAAGATTTTAAAAGCCTCCGCTCAAGTAACCTGTAGTGATGGCTGCTGCACCCAGCCATCTGCTTCCAGTAGTGCAGCTTTGGTGAGGGGACCTAATGCCGGCTCTTCTTTCCTCGCAGGTGGTGAAGGTGGGTCTGGTCGAAGACTCTCCTTCCGCTACAGGTGAGAGTGCGGCCCCTTTGTTTCCATAGAGTGAGGGCGGTGCCTCCGCCGCCTCTTCTCTAGTCCAGCCAGCCAGAAGGCACAGACTTGGGGTGTCCTAGGTTAAGTCAGAGTTTGGGCAGGGCAAGTGTGGGCGCCCTCACTCCCCGGGTGAAGTGGCGGCAGGGGCTGAGAGCGGGCATCTAAGGCCCAGCAGAGAGCAGGCTGCCACTGAGACAGAGGGGTACCTCGACTCCTTGCCACCAACGTGTCCTCTGCCTCCTCTGGCTGACTGTCCCCTGACAGGTGATGGAGACGACTCGCCTGTGGTCAGCCTTACCGTGCCCTCCACATCACCGCCTTCCAGCTCGGGACTGAGTCGAGATGCCATGGCCACCCCACCCTCCTCCCCGTCCATGAGCAGTGCCCTCGCCGTTGTGGGGTAAGGCTGTCCCCAGGACCTGTCTTTCCATCAGGGCCCAGCACCCGACTGATTTCCCTGCTGCCTGCGGCATCGCGGAACAGTGACAGTGCCTGAGTTTAGACAGTAGTGTGGTGGTGAGAACACGGGGGCAAAGTTAGAACTCAGAGACTTAGGCCACCAGCCAAGCAAGTCATCGAACAGCCCCGTCTGCCCTGTCGCACAGAGGTATAAGGTTGAATGAGGGGCCATCGGTTATCTGTAATGTGCTGTGTGCGTGTCTTGTCGTGGGACTGCCCAGCGTAGTAGGAGTGTGGGAGTCACACCTGAGTCTGAGCCGAGGTTCTGTGTGACAGTGACACTTGTTAAGGCACAGTAAGGGAGGCTTTATTCAAGGGGGGGACTATTGCGATAGGTGTAGGGACCACTGGGATGAGATTTTGCAGTGGGGGGAAAAGATGGGGCTCAACTCCAAATACAGCATAAGCAAATGGGGATTTATAACCAAGGAGCAGTGGGATTCAGTGGATGCAAAGTCACTGAGAGAAAGCATCACGGGTCGGGGGCTCTGGCTAAGCTGGCCCAGTAGCACTCTTGCTGAAGGCAGGCCAGGGTGTCAGACATTTTGGGGGTGCTGGAGGATGAGGAACCTGATCAGATAGATGTCCAGGGTGATCGGATTGGGGGCGCGGAGGGGTCCTGCTAGCTGCCTCAGCTGGGTTCTTGCTGAAACTGGATTTTATAAGGAAGTTCACAGATGGGCCTGAAGAAGGTTCAGGAGCCTGACTAAAGTTGGGTCAATCACAGACTCTGTCCCTTGGGCACGTTGCTCAGCTTCATTTTTTACTCCGTGAAAGCAGAGGTGAAGTAGCCAGGTCAGTTTTGTTGTGAGGCGTAAATAAGAGCGTGTGTGCGTGTTGGTCCCTGGCACGTAGACGGTGCTGCCCTGTTTCCTGCATCCAGCTGTCCTTCAGCACAGCGGAGCTGTTGCCACGAATGAGACGGGCAGTGCCCTGTCCTGGCGCTCAGGTTCCTGGGCCCGGGCAAGGCCGAAGCAACACAGAAGATGAAACTGTAGATTGCAGGAGGTGCTGTGAAAAGTAGTCTCAGGGTGGTAATGAAGGGGAGGGGAGTTGTTTAAGATCTGAAGTATCCAAAGCTGAGATCAGGTGGGCAGGGAGGCGTCCGGAGGCAGCTGTGGGCTGAAGGGGCTATGGCGGGGCTGGGACAGACGAGAGCTCGT